TCTGAGTAAAAAAAACTCATAAAATATGTATGTGGGGTAATCAGGTTGTTAGTTTTTAACTGTTGCAAATCGGCAACACCTGCTTTGAGAGGGTTAACCTGTTAGCAGTCGGACGTACCGCCTACGGTACATTGGATGGTTTAGGGGACTAATTGGACTGCTAAGGGGTTAAATTATAGAATATGTAGGTTTGTAATATGGGTGGTGTTCCCCTGTATTAAAATCTGCTCTTTAATTTGTCATTTCCCAGCATCGTCTTAGTTATGTGTACAGTGGCTCACTCTTTTGGAGTACAGTCAGCGTGTGTCTGGATCCTCACTCGTTTCACATCACCAAGGTTACGACCTAATAACACTGCATGGTTTGTCCCATAGAAAGACACCACACTGGGAGTGATGGAGGAGATCTCTGGGATCTGACAGTGAAACAAACAAAAAAAACAGATAATTTAATTTCTTTCTGCTGACATTATACTGGATGTGGATTAGGTGTCAGAGGAACAATGAGGATCAGACTCACGGAGAAGTTCTTCCCAGACTCCAACTCTTGGCAAACTCTGTCCTGCAGGAGGGGATTCAGCACTTAGCATGTGCGTAGCACTGTAATCTATCAGAACTGATCTAGGACCTGTTGTGGCTAACATTATCTTAGTTCAAAAAGAGGAAAACTGCTAATAAAAGCATTTTTATTTTTTATAAACTGAACATGGAAATCATTGTATTGATGAAGCAATAAATACTTGAAAATGTCATCCTCAAAATAAGTTAATCAGTAGGAAATTTGCTCAGTAATTGTGTTTTTCTTAGCATGTCTGGCCTTTACTAAAAATGTTGTTTTCTACCATTAAGCCCACGTTTCTTGCTGAATGTTAAAAAGTGATGAATTTAAAATAATGTAGCACACAGACTGATAAATCCATAAAATCAGTCACTAGTACACCAGTCTCTCCTTGGTTAGCCCAGGAACAGCTGTTTTTGTTCCATCCACAACCAGCTTTGATACACTGCCGACACCTGAGCAGAAAACAGAGGAGTGAGATGAGCACAAAAAAGCACCATAGGGAAAAAAGGAGTGCATGAATGAGAGAAGGACAAAGCTGTTTTGTTTTTCCTACTCATAACCACCTGGACCTCCGAACACACACGCTGACCCCACCTGCCTGCTCTCCACCCACTTCCCGAGGAAAACTGCGTGTCGGCTCAGTCAATCCAATCTGCACTGAAGCAGTTCTTATTCCTCAGCCACAGTCGCTAAAGTTCTTTATGGTTCATTTCTGTCTCAACTGACAGGATGTCTTATTTTGTTAAATATCTCTCTTCCTCATTTCCTCTGCTGCCACAGCTGGTAGGAGGGACCAAGATGCCGAGGAAAGGATTCAAGAAGAGGAATCATCTACGTGTACTTTTGGGAATGAAAAGAGAGTGCCATACTTTTCATGCAGAAACAGAAACACCCAGTCCGCGTCATCCTGAATGAATAACAGGAAGAGAGCAGATGTTCAGCCAAGAAGTTCTACTGACCTTTTTTGTGCAAAGGAGTTTTTTGTTTCCTGTTCTCATGCTGTCCTACCATGGAAGCACAGCATGAGTAGGGGTCTCTTTTTTGCTCTTGTACTTTCCCCACTGTAGTGTACATTTCAATGTTTTTTCTCTGATTCTACCAATCTCCGACTTGTATCCCCATGTAATGTTTGTGCTATATGTGTAAGGTCGGGGGGGGTCCCATTTCACTGCAGGGCAACCTGCATGTGACGAATAAAGCTTTGATTGATTGATTGATTGATTGATTGATTGATTGATTGATTGATTGATTGATTGAGTGATTGATTGAAAAAAAGGGACTCTAGGAAGAATGTAAAAAATAAATAAAGCTGATAATCATATAATTAAGATCACAAGTGTTGCAAACACAATGAATAAAATTTTTAATGTTAGAATTTACACTAAAAACAAAACTATACAGCTTTTACACTTTTCTTCCCCCCGTTAACCATCATCCAGTAAATCTTTGTTTCTGTCCAAATATTTATTTTTAGGCATCTTTGAGATGTTTTCAGCCAGGTCTAATCTGGTCTTCCTGTGCCCGAGTGTAAACAATGGTTTCCATATATACATTCCTGAAGGTGTCTCTTTAACTCAAAGTTTGATAAAGGACAACAAAACTACTTCTCCAAGGGTTTTCTTGGGATTCCAAGATGCTCTGTAGCTGTAAACTAATGAAACATTGCTGCAAACATCCACATCGGTTGTCTTCTGTACTTGTTCAGACTCGTTGGATGTTCTTGATCTGGAATGTTGATTTGGCTTCTCCTACAGGCTCTGCCGTCTGTCTGCTTTCTTTTGCTTGTTCAGCCTTGTTTATTTGCACTGACACTTCTTTGGGCCTAATACGTTGACTTCCAGCAAAATGTTGTGACATAACGAAATTAGGCCTCAACTGACTGTGAAAATGGCAGCCTGTGTATAAAAATGGCTGTAATTCCTAAACAGTTAATGCATTAAATTTGTTTAGTTAACAGGTCACTCAATAGACACCCTACTGCTACTAGATGGCCTCTGAAATACTGAACATTAGCTTTATTTCTTTCTGTTAATAATAACTGATGTATGATAATTTATACAAACCTTAATGAGCTGTCCATCTCCTGTCCCAATATAGAAAACCATCCAGCCTCTCTGCCTCACTGCCAGCACTGAGGTCATGTAGGTCTGCCTGAAAATCACTGCCTTCGGTTTGAGGATCTTTGGCTGAGAAACAGAAAAACATCAGAAATAACTGACCTGAAGAACTGAACATCAGAAGTACTGAAAGTCCTGAAGCCTCACCGAAGCATGTCTGTTGCTGCATTGTCACCAAAGTCAGTTGAATTTCTTGATTTTGTCATTTTAGTTTGAAATATGAGGTTCAGACATGAAGTGTGGCCATTAGGACATCCCACAGTTGGCTTAATAGTTAAACTGGTTCATAGATAACAATTTTTTTTTGCTATAGTATGTGTGGAGAAACAAATATATGGATTATTGTATCACCAATTGTACAAAAGTCTTAAACTGCTCTCTCATCTTTCTTCAGTCTATGATGCTCAAACATGACAAGATTTTTCCAGCAGCTGAAATGATATTACTGAACAACAAACGTGCTTTTGCTGTAGCAGCTCCCAAACTGTGGAATGAGCTTCCTTTAGAGATTAGACAGGCCACTTCTTTACCTGTTTTTAAGTCACTCTTGAAAACCCACCTCTTTACTTTGGCCTTTGACACCACGTGAGATGTTGGTTTTTATATTTATTTTTATTTTATTTTAGTTGTTTTTAGGTGACTCGATGCTGTTTTATCTTGTTTTGTTTTAACATAGGGCTGTTTTAATTTTAATTTTAATTTTATGTCTTATGTGATTTATTTATTTAATTTGCTGTTTAACTTACTTTCTGTACAGCACTTTGTTCCTGTGCTGGGTATTTTAAAGTGCTTTATAAATAAAATTGGATTGGATTGGATTGGATATTACAAAAATAACTCTATTAAGACGCACAAAAGAACAAAACTTTCTTTTTGTTGTAGTTAAAATGTATATTTTAGTTCTTTTATTCTTTTTTAAAGGGACATTTATCCAGAGGATACTGGAGCCATTAAATTAAGAACCATTAAATCAGAGTTTGAAAAGCTCTCACCGTCACTTCTGATGGCACAGAGGTGTAGAAGTCTGGATCTCTGTCGGCATCACTGCTGTAATCAGGGCTGATGTCAAACACCATTAGTTGGGTGTTGGTGTCTCCTCCATCCACACTGAACACGCCGCTCCAAAGCACCGGCTGCTCCCCCAGGATGACCAAGGAGGCCACGAGTCTGCTGCTTTCACTGTGGGAGACACTGAGAGTTGCGCCCCACAGAGACTTGAGTGTATCAGTTTTGCTTTTTTCCCCTTCGAGCCAAATGAGACGGACTCTGTTTGTTTGAGCTGAGAGCGCGTTGAAGAACAGATAGATGGTTGAATTGATCTGAAACCCGTCAACAAACTCCACATCACCTTTACTTTTGATCCCAGGTGTGCCTGAAGCTCCATCAGCTAGAGAAAATGTACCTCCACCCTGTTTGTTATCTGTATCTTGCAGGTTGACAGTCTGCCGATTAATACCACACTTGTTGTTTTCGGGCTTTTCTGTGTTTTGTTGGATCGCGGTCAGAATGTAAGTGTCAGTCTGAGTTTTCTTCTTCACATCCACCAGAAAGCTGACTGACCTGCTGCTGCTTTTCAGAGGTCCCACCTGGATGTGTTCTCTGTGCAGAAGCTTGGAGATGTTCTTCAGGTCCAGAACCTCGCAGTAACTGCAGTCATCGTCAGTCACACCGCAGCTGATCAGCGAGTCATTGCTTGTGAAAGGCAACAACACGTTGATGCTGAAAGTTGCGTTCCACTCAGCTGTGTCAGAAACCCGGTAAAACTGCACATCATCCTGCTGGTTTCCGGTCTTTAAGATTCCTCTCTGGGTCAGACTGTTGATCAAAGTCAAGTCGTGGCTCAGCTGGTACAGCCTCTCCTCTGTGGCGATGTAAAGCATGTTGGGGGTCACGGCAAATTGGAGGATGTCTCCATCAAAGGTGAAGCCTTCATCCTCCTTCTGGCACAGACCCAGTTCTCCAGAGAGAACAGAAAGCAGAGCGAGCAGCAGGATCATCTTATAATAACGATAATTCTACCCGGGACACGCTCACACAGCGATGCTCTGCGTGGCACTCTGCTCTCTGTGTCTCTAAAGTTGTGTGTGAAGCGCAGTGCGCGCAGCTGAAAAGAGAACCGCTGGAAGGAGGAGGGCTGGAGCATGCCAAGCGAAAGTGAAAATATTTGAACATTTTCACTCAGCAGCTTCCGTCTCATTTCCACCCCGTACCTGTGTACAGGTCAATGTTACAAAAAAAAAAAAAGCCGGATATAGTGCGTCCCTAAGCAAAATCACCGCAATTACAGCCCTCAGCTGTATTCTTTAAACCTTCCATAAATGTTAGTGTAAAGTCAGATTTGGCTTAAATCAATGGAAAGATATGACCTCAGAAATGATTCTGAAACAAAAGCCATTCACACCAGGTTCCCCCAATCTTATAAACAGTACATTTGCATAAGATTGGGGAAACCTGCTGTCAGCTGAGACTGAAGATGTCACTTGGATGAGTGACGAAACGTTTCTCCCACAAAACGCTACGTCCAAATGAACAGAACCAACTTTTGGAGATTTACTTTCCTGGATGATTGAGAAAGCATCAAGACATCTTAAAAGGTGCTGTATAAATAAAATTTTACCTTTACTTTACTTTACTACTGTATGGAAGAAGGACAAAGAAAAGTCACTGTGCTTGACCCTGAAACCAGAACCACAGGTTATTCATTCTAAACAAAGACCTAAAGACAAATTAATGAAGTGCTATCATGTTTTCTTTTTTAAAACAATACCCCAAAATAAATATGCATAGTTAAGTTCAGCTTTGACTTAGAATTATCAGAATGACATTGCTTGTCATGGTCCTGCGGCCATGACTGAGTGACTTTGTGTTTGTGTTCTTTATTGTTATTACTTTCATTATTATTCATGGCTGTTTTGGGATGGTTTGTGTTTTGGGATTTTAGATACTGGGTTTTGGGTTTGTGCTCCCTCTATTGGTCCCTGGTGTCAGTGTTCCCCT